GGGAAAGAGAACTGGAGTTCAAGAGAACCAAGTGTGGAAACTAAGGGAGTTGGTAGGGTGTGGGCGGCCAGAGGCCTAATGTGAGGGAAAGCAGAGGGGACGGAAGACGAGAGAACAGCGGGCCAAGAGAGAGAATGGCAGTGAATGGGGTCCCAGGAGGCGGGGAAGGAGAGGCCCTTGTACCTGAAGCTCCTTGGCCCAGGAGCAGTGCCAGTAGGACAGTCCTACCCACTTGACAAAGAACTCTCTCTCCGATCTGCCTTGAAGAGGACGTGCGGGTGGGGCATCTGGATTCCCGTCTGCCTGTTGGGGGGCTGGCACTGCCACAGGGGGCTCCCCCCACCGCCAGTGTAGGATCTTCTGCACACGGCCTTTCAGCACGGGACACTTCGGGATGGACGCACACAAAGAGTAAAGAAAGAGGCAGAAAGAGCCCATCTTTAGAGTAGGAGGATGGGGGTCCCACACGGGAATCAAAGGCTAGGTGTAGGGGAGAGTAGAGAAAGAAAGAGCCCGACTTTTGGGCCCCGGAGATGGAGAAGGAGTCGGGGCTGACAGTAAAGCCTGAGAGATGGGCACACTCACTGTGCATCGGGGACACAGCCACTCGCCGTTGGGGATGTCAGGCAGCGGGGGGTTCAGGCAGTGAATGTGGTAGGAGGAGATGCAGGCGTCACAGCACAGGAGCTCCCCGCCATCCTTGCACACACGGCAGTACTCCATGTGGTCGTCCTCTTCCTCCTTCTCCCCCTCCTCTTCCCCCTCCTCTTCATAGTCTTCCTCCTCCTCCTTGGCCTCCCACTGTACCCCCTCCTTCTCCTGGGAGGCCAAGGACAGACACAGACACAAGAAAGAGGATAAGGAGTGAGGCTGGAAGACAGAGGCAAACCAGGACAGCTAGCTCCTAGAAGTGCAGAGAAGACTGCTGGGAACAAAGGAACAGGACACCTCAGTTCCCCAAAATGCTAATTTGGGGGACAAAGGGATGGGGGAGAGGATCAAACTAGGATCTTGGACACTTCAACATCTGTTACTGAGAAGCCCAGGCATCTGGAGGTAGGGAGAGGACAAAAGAAAGCAAGGAGGAAAGAGGTGGGTGGGTCCCTGAGGGCCGTAAGAGGTGGCACCAGTACTCACACAGTGGGGGCAGCTCCATTTGCCCTCAGGAGCCCGGTCAAGCTCAGGATCGAGGCAGACGAGGTGGTAGGCACGAGGGCAGGTGTCACACAGAATAATTTCCCCACCCTGCTGGCACACCTCACAGTAATCCTGGTGATCCGTCTCGTAGCCATCAACCTCCTCCTCCCCGGCCACTGCAGCACAGCCCAGGACTGTCATACGCCCCAGTGGAGGCAAAGGGAACAGAGAGAGAGAAGGAGAGTGGAATGCGGGAGGGGAGAGAAAGAGAAAAGCGTTCAGTAAAGAGGTCAAAACTACAAAGACAGACAACGAAGGAATGAAAGGAAGGCTGAGCGACAGGACAGCTCACAGCTGACCCCGCTTACCCTTCTTCTTCTTCCTTCCCGGCCGGCCTCTCTTTAGTTTCTTGGTGCGGACAGGCCCATCAGGGCGGCCTGAGGCACTGTGCACACTGCCACTGTCCAGGTCTGACTCCTCAGCCTCTGGTTCAGGGCCCTCGTCACTCTGGAAAACATACTGCCCATAGCCCCCGTGGCTGTCAGAGAGGCCAAATGGATTCCACTCCCCTCCCCAGGCCTTGGGCTCCCGCTTCAGCTGCCCTCATGGACCCTTGTGTCTGGGCCCTCAGCCCCTGACCACACCCCAGAAGTATAATGGACAGGGAGGAGCCACCCACCGAGCCTCCCTTCTTCCTCTTGCCACCCAGCAGCCCTAGTTTGATTTTGAGTGGTGCCATCTTCTTTCCCCGAAGCTTTTTGCGTCCATCAGGCACCCGGGGACTCTTACTCCGCCTCTTGTGGCCTGGACCTGAGTGAGGAGTGGGGTGACAGAGAAAAAGCCGAGGTCATGAAAGGCAGGAACAATGGAGGCCGTAGGGTTTCTGGACCTCTCTGTGGGCTATGGTCTCACTGAGACCCCTTCCTGGACAGCATTTCTTCTCCAACAATCAGGGCTGAGAAGACAAGAGTTCTGGACTATAATTTGAGAACATGCAGTTTAGAGGATGGGGTGACAGTTATTCCAACTAGAGGGTTTCTTACCTTTGCCCTCTTTGGTTTTGGCTCTTCGGATGGGTGGGGGCTGGATATCAGCAGCAGGGGGTGGTGGAAGGGCGGGGGGTCCGGAAGGTGCTATGGGGGTGGCCGATGAGACAGCAGCTGACACCTGCTCAGCTACAGCTGCGGCCGCCGCTGCCGCCGCTGCCGCCACAGCAGCTGCCGACCCCTTGAAGGGGTTGTTGGCGCTGAACTCTCTCCACTTGGCCCCAAGGATGGTCATCATCTTAGACATTGGGATCTTAGGATTCTTCTTAGCAATCAGGGGCCTGAAAATATAGAAGCAAGGCACTTGGACCCTTCACAGATGGTCTGGGAATACTGTCATTTCCCCTCACCAATTAAGTCTATGTACCAGCTAGGATTCCTAGGTGGTGAAAATATGTCCTATGAAGAATAACATCAAGTTTGAAATAAAGAAATAAAAAGTTTAAGAAGGGAAAAAAAAGTTTAAAAAAACAAGAAAAAAGTATGAAGAAGAAAAAAAAAGCAAAATAAAATTTAAATGCAGATTAAAAAGGATTAAAAAATATGAGATTAATAAAAAAGCTCTACTTTGGACAACTACTTTACAGTTCCTAAAACACTTCCACACACATAATACCTTATTTCGTCCTCACAATACTACTAGGAGTTGCTATGATTCTCTGTGCTTTTCTAAAGAGTTCCACGGGCCCTGATGAAGGGTCCCATCAGGTGGAGTCTGATGGGCCACACTGGTTCTGCTCTGCGGTGAGGTGTTAAGCTCCTGTGAGGACGTGGGTGACCCCGGTGCTGACAGAAGCACTGTCTTTAGTACTGAAGCAATGAGACAACGGGACTAAGGACAGCTACCAGGGACTGAACACCACTAGGGGCCAGGCACTGAGTGTGCTGAGCTTTCCATCCATCATCCCATCAAATCCCCACAAGACCCCATGAGGTACGTACTATGTGCCTATTTTACAGATGCAGAAACTGAAGATCAAAGAAGTGAGCTGCCCAACATGACACCGGGACCTGAACCTCAGCAGGCTGCCTCCAGAGCCTGCTCCCCAAAAGGCATCTCTACTGTTCTGTACTCTATACTGCGGGAGCCACTGAAGCTCAGGTCCCACTGTCAGCAATGCATCCTCCGTTATTACTGGTATCTAACGAAGGGACAGAGGACTTGATAACTGAGCAAAGGAAACTGGGGAACACGGATACCACCTCCCCGCTCCAGTCTAGAGAGAAGTCAGGCAGGGAAAACTGGAACTGTTAGACCAAGGAGGGCCATCAGTCCTCCTGATAGTCTGTCACCACAGAGTTTTCTAACCTGGCAGTGCTACTGTGACCCCCCAGTGAAGGGTTCCTGACTGGAGTCCTTGGATCCTAGGAGTGCAGGAATTCCCTAAGATGACATGGGGAATTTTATGTGTATGTGCTGTGAATTTCTCTGGAGAGCAGTTTCTTAGCTTTCATCAGATTCCAGAAGGGTCCAGGGCCTCCCCCAAATTAAAAGCGTCTGCTCGAGAGGGCTCCTCAGCCCTACCGCACCTCATGAACTGGCTAAAGGCTTTGTAGTTGGTGAGTGTGTGGTAATCCTCCTCAGAGAACACATGTTCCACGTCCTCCAGGCCCCAGGTCAGAAGCAGAGTTGCCGACGACTTCTGTTCCACCTGCTGGGACAGACCAGGCTTCAGTGACGCAGGGGTCCAGTCCTGGGCCCCCCAAATGCCTCTCTACCCACCCACCAGGTTCCCTGGGCTTTCTGCTTCCTGCTCCATTCCCAGCCCAATCCCACTCCTCACAAACCACAGCCTCTCCACTTAGCACCCTGCTCGCCCAGGGCTCTCCCGCCCCCACTCCTCATGCCTGTCATTAATACTGATTTCTCCCCTCACTCCCTAACTCTACTCACCTTTTGCCCCCCATCTCCCTCCCCTTTTTTCCGCCGCTTCGTCTTCTTCTCCTTTTTTTCTCTGTGCTTCCGTCTCCGTTTCCGACCTGGTCCAGTTCCATATTCACTGCCTCCACTCTCTGACTTCTCCCGGTACTCATCTCGCTCAGAGCCAAATTCCTCCTCGCTGTCCTAAGGGAAAGAAATAAAAACACTATTTCTTCAGCCCTTCCTTGTGCCAGAAACTGTTCTTAGCACATAACATTTATCGTCTCTTTTGATCTTCACAACAATCCTATGATAGTAACTAATCTATCTTTATCCACTTTTTTGTAGATGAGGAAACTGAGGCACAGAGACCTAAATAAATTGTCCAAGAAGACAGAAGACTGCTAGGCTCTAAATTCATGCAGTCTACCTCCGGAGCCTGTGCTTTCAACCACCTCTCTGTGCGGCAGGGCAAGTCAAGTCGACAACTGGGCTCTTCACTAGGCCGTGGTGAGTGAGGTTAGGGTCCCAGACCTGGGAGGTGCAGGCTAGCAAGCGGGGGTGGGGGCAGGTAGAGGGGATCAGGCCTCCCTGACTTCAGGATCCCCACAGTAATCAAGACCAGAGAAAACGTAGGTCTCTAGGGATGGGTCTCCAAGCTTAGCTGTAGAGATAGGAGTCCTGAACACTTACAAGCTTCTTGCGTTTTCGGGGTTTTCCTGGCTTGTTCTCCTTCTGCTTCTTGGGTCCTCTTTTTCTCTTCTTCACACCCAGTGCTGAAGGCAGCAGCCGAATGTCATCCTTATCTTCGGAGCAGAGAGAAGACCAGAGAAAACCAGAAAAGCTAAGCCTCTGGGTTCCCAGTCTCTGCAGCCCCTTCCCTTCCTCACCTCCTCAGTTCCCGCTGCTCTCTAGGAACTCCAGCATTAACTCTTCCAAACCTTGCCTCCCTCCGCTGGATGCAAACAGAGAGTGTTTCGAGTACTCTGGGATGCTCGGGTTCTGAATGGGAGGTCAGGGGTCAGAAGGGAAGAGC